TCGGACTTTGCTCCTACTTCCAACGCTTCGTAAAAAATTTTGCACACATAGCGAGGCCGCTTACGCAGCTCCTCAAGAAAGAAGTCCCGTTTTCATGGGGCTCCGAAGAGGCTTCTTCGTTCTCGACTCTCGTCGCTCTTCTCACTACCCCTCCGATTCTGGCACACTTCAACCCTGCTGCCCCTACGGAAATCCGTACAGATGCAAGTGGGCATGGCATTGGTGCAGTGCTGGCTCAGAAATAACATGGCCATGATTGCGTTATTGCATATGCTAGCCGCCTCCTATCCGCCCCTGAACGTAACTATTTGATAACAGAGCGTGAGTGCTTGGCTCTTGTATGGGCAGTGGCGAAATTTTGACCTTATCTATACGGACGCCCATTCTCGGTAGTTACCGACCACCACGCACTCTGCTGGCTCAACTCTCTGAAAGATCCATCAGGCCACCTTGGTCACTGGGCTTTGCGCCTGCAAGAGTTTTCCTATCCGGTGGTCTACAAATCTGGCCACCTACACTGTGATGCTGATTGCCTCTCCCGGTACCCTGTCGACGATCCTGAGGACACTGACGAGCCCACGGAGAACTCTATCTTGTCAGTGTCCGACTTCGTTAATATTGGGGAAGAACAGAAGCGTGATCCAGAGCTGCTTGACATCATCAGCCGTATGGAATCCTTCACAAATGATGCTTCCGTCCGCTACTTTGTCATTCAAAAGGGTGTGCTATACCCTCGCGATTTCCGACCAGACGGGCCCGACCTTCTCATTGTTGTGCCTAAGGATTTGCGCCGATATGTTTTCACCGAACTTCACGACGCTCCCACGACTGGACACCTTGGTGTATCCCGCACGTACGAGCGCGTGCAGCGCCGTTTTTTTGGCCAGGCCTTGCTCGTTCGGTACGCCGATACGTTCCCACGTGTGACCTATGCCAACGTCGTAAGACACCGTCGCTGCTACCCGCTGGCCATCTTCAACCAATTGACATACCCGCGGAACCATTTTACCGTGTTGGGTTAGACCTGCTTGGTCCTTTTCCCACATCCACATTGGGAAACAAATGGATAGCTGTTATTACAGACTACGCTACACGCTACGCTATTACACGAGCTCTACCGACCAGCTGTGCAACCGACGTCGCTGACTTCTTGTTACGGGACGTTATATTGATTCACGGTGCTCCGAGACAGTTTCTCACAGACCGTGGCCGTACACTTCTATCCCAAGTCATCGCCGACATTCTGCATTCTTGTTCCACGCAACACACACTGACAACCGCTTACCACCCTCAAACAAACGGCCTCACGGAACGATTTAATCGCACTTCAACAAATATGCTCGCTATGTACGTGTCGCCCGACCACCGAGACTGGGACCTTGCCTTACCCTACGCAACTTTCGCGTAAAATTCGTCCCGTCACGGCACAGCGGGCTTTTCGCCGTTCTACTCATTGTACAGAAGAGAGCCGACTTTACCACTGGACGCAGTCATCTCGGCTCACACCTCGTCCACCAACGAGTACGCCCACGACGCGATTGCGCGAGCCGATCATGCCCGTCAGCTCGCTCGCGCTCGGCTGATGGCGTCGCAAACCAACCAATGCCGTCGGTACGATGCGGAACATAGAGACGTACATTTCACTCCCGGTACCCTCGTTTTACTCTGGTCCCCTCATCGTCGGCTGGGCCTATCCGAAAAACTTCTGTCTCATTACACGGGACCCTACCGTATATTGCGTCAAGTAACACCTGTCACCTACGAGATCAGCCCCATCTGTCCATCATCATCTATTATGCGGCCCAGTGATATCGTACACGTCTCGCGGATCAAGCCCTACAATAATGCGTCAGATAACGACCTTTAAAGCACCGGGACGGTGCCTCCGCCGCCGGGGGTGATGCTACGTGCTAGTGCATGGAGCTGAAGAAGAGAAAGCAGATAGACTGGCACGAGCTAATCTGTGTGGCTGGCGCTGCTCGCCTAACCGGCTGTAAATACATCGGTGACTACGCCTCTGAGTCAGTCTCCTTCCCGTAACAATATAGACAAATCCGTGACAGCTCTGCATTCCAAACGAAAAACGAAAAACACACGCCCTTATTAGCAATGCAACGAATAACAATCGTAATAATATTTACAATAAATCAAATAAATGTAAATCAAGTGAACGCACAAATTTATTACCATCACCCGTATTGACTATGTTACTCGGTAACCCATTACAATCTTCAATAACATCGGGGAAGAAAGTATGACGGTACGCCTTCGTTCGTGCAAAATAAGGTTGCAGTACTCGTGCATAGTTTGCCCTCTCGCTTCGTTTCCCAGGTTGTTCTATGTAGTCATTTCTGTTAATTTTAAACTCACCTTCTAATAATTGAAAAGAAACTTCAATCTATTTTTGTATCTGCGCCTACGCAGCGCCTCCAGATCACAAAGTTGTCGCATTTCTGTGACTGAATCGTTCTGTTTATATCTCGAGCATATAAAGCGAGCTGCAAGCCGTTGTATGCGTTCAAGTTTATTTACAAGAACGTTTTGGTGGGGTCTCTAGGCAATACTGGCATATTCCAGTATCGGCCGTATGAAAGTTTTAAAAGCAAGAAGTTTTACGTTCATACTAGAACCCTGCAGTTTTTTTCCTAATATGTACAATTTTTGTGAGGCCCTAGAGCAAACATTATCAATATGTGTGTGTCTTTTTAGTTAATGCATTATTGTGAGACCTAGGTACTTAAACGCATTAACTGTCGACAAGGTGTATTTCCCGATACAGTATTCAAACGAAACTATCGTTTTTTCTTAGAAATGTGGGTTACGGTAGACGTCGTATATTTGATTTGCATTCCCGAAGCTTCCCACCATGAGTGTAATTCCTCTAGACATTCGACAATATTCAATTGGTCCTTCCTACCAGTCACTCGCGCGTAAACTAAACAATCATCAGCAAACAATTTGAGCTTAACATGAGGTTTTGCTGTATCTGCGATATTATTTACATATATCAGAAACAATAAAGGTCCAAGAACCGAGCCTTGTGGAACCCAAGAAAACACGTCTAGTGGGCTAGACATAGAGTTATCAATTTTCACGAATTTCTTCCTGTCAGTTAGGTAGGCTTTAATCCAATTAAGTAAAAGTTGACTTAGTCCAGCGCAGTGAAGCTTATACAGTAATCTATTTTGAGGTACCTTATCGAAGGCCTTAGCGAAATCTATGCAGATGACATCAATTTGTTCACTCATATTTAAAGCTGTTGCAAAGTCATGAATAGTTTCGATAAGCTGTGTTGTAGTCGAGACTACTTCTAAAGCCATGCTGATAAGGGTAAAAGTAATTTTTATTCTCTAGGAATGTGGTGATATGCTTGACATTGACATGTTCAAATATTTTGCAGCAGATAGATGTGAGCTATACGGGACGGTAATATTTGGCGGACAACCGATCACCACTCTTAAACACAGGGACAACTACAGCTGTGTGCCAATCCGATGGCACTGAACTAGTACAAATAGACATTTGCTGCTGTTACTGCTGTATCGTAATTTAGTGTTTGTAATTTGTTGCATGACTATTTTACTTTCACCTTCTGGTAAAGCATCGGGACGATGTCGTTTTCGGAGGGGGGCAATGCCACGTTCTTTTCGCAAGTTTTGTTTTTATCCCATTACATTGGAAGTAATTCTCAGCGGAAACTGCGCACGCACTGTTCGAGATGCTTTTGGACTGTGACAGATCACTTCGATATAATAGACGCCGCTTTGTTCTAGATTCATCTTATCAGAACTACCCTATACAACCGCTTGGTGCCTACCTAAGTATAAATAAATTGATTCTTTTTAGTGTTCTTTCAGACAACCTTCAACGAGATAAAAAACATATATTCATTATTGTATGGGCTAAAACATGCAGCAGAAGCGAGCGCAAGATGACCTTTCGATATAGTATAGCACAGTCGTGCACCCATTTCTCCATCTTGTTCCCAATCTTATGTCTTGTTTGAACTTTAAAGTACTGAGTGCGCCCTTAGACAGCATACGCAAACAATTTTTGCTGCAAAAATCACTTCATTTATTGACTTGATATCAAACGTCATTCATCTTATCCCTAAAAGTCCAAACAACTGAGCTTCACCTACAAAGTAGACTTCGCCACCCAACAATCGCAGAATGTTGATTGATTTGTGGGGTTTAACGTCCCAAAATCACTATTTGATTATGAGAGACGCCGTAGTGGAGGGCTTTGGAAATTTTGACCACCTGGGGTTCTTTAACGTCTGCCCAAATCTGAGCTCACGGGCCTACAACATTTCCGCCTCCATCAGAAATGCAGCCGCCACAGCCAGGATTTGAACCCGCGACGTGCGGATCAGCAGCTGAGTACCTTAGCCACTAGACCACCGTGGCGAGGCAACTCGCAGAACGTTGCATATAATTATCGCGCAAGAACGCTGACATTGCAGACGAGGTCTGAGTGACCGAAAACAACCCGGCACGATGTTGTGGGTGTGCCAAGGCCATGGAGCTGTAAGAGGGCTCATGACATATTGACAAGAAGTACTTGTCATACATTCATCCGTACAAATTGATCGTTAGAAGACCATGGTTGTAGCAATCTACACTGTGCGTTCTCTTGAATGCGTCTCTGCTCGGTTTAAGAGCTCATATATCCGAATTCTTAAGGGAAAGTGCATTGTGTTCATGTTTTTTAACGTATTCATTCATTTTTATTTGTTTAAGCTCGTTATTTCATATGAACAGGCCAGGGTAGTTTCGTTCACTTTTTTCTCATTTTGTACCACAATGAATGAATGGAATTAGTGGAGCCAAGCAGTTGTGTTAGAGAAACAATCTATACCATTTACACTGCAGCACTTGATACAGCCTGAGGCACTAGCACTGATATGCAATTGTTACATAAAATTTTAATATCTCGCAGTTTTCTAAGTTGCACATCAATAACACTATTATACTGGTGACCAATATTATTTTTAACAGAAGGAAGAATGCCATATACAATTGATATGAACTTGACTTTCAATGAGCCAGACTTCTACAACTGCAGTGTCTTCAATGTCACCTATACATTTAATGGTCTACATCTTGGTAAGTCTTTGCTGTCACTTATCGCCCCGCCACGGTGGTCTAGTGGCTAAGGTACTCGGCTGCTGACCCGCAGGTCGCGGGATCAAATCCCGGCTGTGGCGGCTGCATTTCCGATGGAGGCGGAAATGTTGAAGGCCCGTGTACTCAGATTTGGGTGCACGTTAAAGAACCCCAGGTGGTCAAAATTTCCGGAGCCCTCCGCTACGGCGTCTCTCATAATCATATGGTGGTTTTGGGACGTTAAACCCCAAAAAAGAAAAAGAAGATGCTGTCACTTATCAATATAGTGATCAACTTCTTCGTAAGAAATAATATATGCGCAGTATTTCTTTGCCTAATGTATGCCTTTTGAGCATCTATCTATCTATCTATCTATCTATCTATCTATCTATCTATCTATCTATCTATCTATCTATCTATCTATCTATCTATCTATCTATCTATCTATCTATCTATCTATCTATCTATCTATCTATCTATCTATCTATCTATCTATCTATCTATCTATCTATCTATCTATCTATCTATCTATCTATCTAGCCGCCTACAACTTTTAACTCTTCTGGCTGTTTGGACAATGGTATCAACATCAAACTTGATATGGCATAACGTGGCTGTATTAAGAACATATTCGACTCGTCATAACATGAAAATCATGACATGTATGTCATGATTCATCATTTATGGTCCTGCAACTCTTGCGGTGGTTTCGTTCACATGGCATGTTGCAAAATTGATATGGTATGGCATGATTGCATGGCGAACGGATGCGAGACACTAACAGGAAAATCATGACATGCCTGTCATGTAGCAACATGACTACGTGCCACGCTCATGATGCGCTGAGGACCGTTTTACTAGCTTCACTTATACCAAATTAAGTATTACGAGACGTCAATGAATGACAAAGGTATGATACTGGGGCAAATCTGATAAACATGAGATGTGCGTCATGTAACAAGATGATTACATGCTACGCTGTTGATGTGCTCTCGTTTCCGTTTCGTTAGCTTAACGTGTACCAAACTCGATATTACAACACGTGAGTCGATGACGAAGGTATGATACTGGGAGAGAGACAGAGAGAGAAAACTTTATTTGCGTATAACGCGGAGCATTCCAAATGGTCGAGCTCCTATTCCAGGGCTCCGCTGGCCCTAGCCATCATCTCTACCTGTTCGATCAGCCAGCGCTGATTAACAATGGCCGAGCTAGACAGCAGTGCCTCCCATTGTTGATGGGAGGCACTGCTGTCCAGTTCTGTGTTGTTCATGTTGTGGTGTTCTTCGTTGTGATGCATACATTCCCACATGATGTAAAACAGAGTGGGTGTGGCCCCACACCACGGACATATATCTTTGTATGCTGTGGGGTAGAATACATGCAGCCTGTGTAAAAACGTGTATGTGTTTGCTTGGATTGTGCGTAATGCCACCGATTCCATTGCTGTGAGTTTCTTATTCGGTGCTGGATACAGTTTTCTATTGCCCCTGTAATACTGAAGAAATGTACCAGAGGTAGGGTCTAGGGGAGTTGAAATTTCTAATGCAGTGTGCAAGGAAGCTCGGTGATTTGTGAAGCCTCGAGCTGCCTCCACCGCAAACTGGTTCCCGGTGACGCCCTCGTGCCCTGGCGCCCAGGTAATGGTTGGGATGTATTCAATTGAAAAGTCTTTATGAGCTTTGGTTAGAATTTGAAAGGCCTTCTTACATATTCTACCTTTATCGTAATTTCTACATACAGCCTTCGAATCTCTGATTGTTGTCATTGGGGCTTTTCGCTCCCTGCCCTCTTTGATTGCCAGTGCGATCGCTATCTCCTCCGCTTCTGTGATAGAGGCTTGGGCTATCGAGGCACAACTTGGGACGTTTCCTTTTCGGTCATTGACCACGGCCACCATGTTCTTCGCATTTGCCTGATATGATGCAGCGTCAGTAAATGTCACCGTATTCAAATATTTTGTCTTCTTATCTATGTAAGCGACTCTTGCCTTACGTCTTCCAGCATTCAAAACTGGGTCCATGTTCTTCGGTAGGAGGCATATCTTATACCAGGCTCTGACTGAGCACGACAAATCCTTAGCTCTTCCATGTGCCTGTACTTGTTCACCGAAGCCGCTCCTCTGAAGGACTTTTTTGCCCCTTGGTGTCTGTAGCAGGCGGTAAATTTCGGTGGTTACTTGCGCCTCAGCCAACTCATCAAACGTATTGTGATGTGCGAGCGCTAATAGCTTCGCAGTTGAAAAGCATTGTGGTAGTCGCAGAGCCACTTTATACGCCATTCTTATTATTTATGATACTGGGACAAACATGATAAACATGAGATGCTTGTCATGTAACAACATGACTACATGCTACGCTCATGATGCTCTCGCGACCGTTTCGCTAGGTTCACATGAACCAAACTGTATTACGTGACGCGAATGGACGACATGAGTAAATGACACATTTAAACATGATGATCACGACATGCGTGTCGTGTGACAACATGACTACACGCCATACTGATGATGCGGTCGCGGCCGTTTCGCGAGATTCACATATGCCAAATTTGGTATTACGTGACGCCAATAGATGACGAAGGCATGTGACTGATGCAAACATGATAATCATGAGTTGCGTGTCATGTGAGAACATGACTACATGCCAGTCAAGGCACCAATACATTTCGACGTGACACGGTGCGTGTGCTCGTCTACATTAATTTATTCGCTTCACGACGGCGCTGCCACGCCTGGCGCCGTTCCTGACATATACACGCAGGCGCGCGCTACGTTGCTTTGACGCATGCGCGTTTCAGCCCGTCCAGCGTCCCTCCGTCACGAAAAAAGGGAGACGCAGTGTTGTCGGGGTAACGCTTCAGCGCGAAATGCAGCATGTTGCATTTCGCGCCGGTTGCCTTCGGGCCACCTCGACGGACGCTGGTTGCGCCTGGCGTCAGACTATAGAGTGTCAGCGTTTTGCTAACGTAGCCTTGCTCTGACCAGCAAGCGCGCGCGTCAACGCTACATTGGAATATATTGGGCTCTTCATGATGCGCTCGTGGCCGTTTTGCTAGCTGCACATATACCAAATTTGTGTTGCGTGACGTCAATGAATGACGAAATATATGACTCATGCAAGCATGATAATCCTGACATGTGCGTAATGTAAGAACATGATAACATACCACTGTCATAGAGTGCTCGCGGCCGTTTCGCTAGCTCCGCGTATACTAAAGTTGGTATCACGTGACATGAATAGATGGCAAAGATAAACAACACATCCAAACATGATGATCATGACACTAAAGACATATACGGCATCATCTACCTCCACCTCGTAACGTTGTGTTGATTTTAAAGCGACATATCAACATTTCTCATTCATGCTTCGCATGCCATCGACTCCCACTGTACGTGGGATGTGCCATTTTTTTAAATTTTTGGTTGGGGGTTGTGTTCACAAAAGCATTTAGAACCCTCATTGGATAGGCCATCGGTGCGAAATGCAACGTCTGCGACCCCATAGTAGACATAGACCATCTGATATGCCGGTGCCTTTGTTTGCGTCTGAAAGTCAAAAAATTGCCCGCAGCTTCCCTCGGGGGAACACTGAGGAGGATGCGGAGCATATAATTGGTTAACGGGGTGTTAAAGTGCGACTTACTTGGGTCGATGTCTAAATTGGTTAACGTAATTGTAGGAGGGGGTGTTAAATGAGTGAACACGTACACATGTATGCGAAAGGGCGGCGCTGGTCGAAGGGACGTCGATCATTGTGTTTGTGGATTCGTTGGAATTCATTTCACCGCGACCTTGGACGTCGACGCGCCGTACAAACCAACCGACGAGCGGCAACTGAGCGAGCGAGCGCCGACCTTGAGTATATATACAGCGCGACGGCGCATGCACTGTCAGCTGTCGAATGTTCGAGAAGGGGGAGAAGCGCAACGGCGCATGCGCGCACGTCAGCTGCCGGTGTTCTCGAAGCGCGACGGCGCATGCACGCGCGTCAGCTGCCGATGTTCTCGAAGCGTGACGGCGCATGCGCGCTACATTATACAGCTAGCGAATGTTCGTGAAGAGGAGAAGCGCACGCGGTGTGTAGAGGAGGAAGGGTGCACAGATGGTGGAGGAGTGAAGCGTGCGCGGTGTGTAGAGGAGGAAGGGATGCACAGATGGTGGAAGAAGGAGGAGGAAGCTTGCGGATGGCGCCGCACTACAAGCTTCGAGTATTAGATGCTCCGCATCTAAAAATTAGCAGATCCCACATAAAGTGGGAATCGATAATATGCGAAGCACGGATGAAGAAAAATGGTATGCACTTTCAAATCGCCACAACGTTAAGAGGTGGAAGTAAATTATGCCGCACACGATTTCCGTGATTTCCATGATTATCATGTTTAGATGTTACGTTTACCTTCGTCATCTATTCACGTCATGGGATGCCAAATTTAGTATACGTGGAGCTAGTGAAACGGCCGCGAGAACGCTATGATCGTGGTATGTTGTCATGTTGTTATATGACACGCGTCTCATGATTATCATGTTTGCATAAATCATATATCTTCGCCATCCATTGACGTCACGTAACACCAAGTTTGGTATATGTGGAGCTAGCGAAACGGCCTTGAGTGCATCATGACCCCGCAGGGGCGCCTGCGCAAGTAAGCGCAGGCGCCCCTGCGCGTTTGACGCCCTACGTGCCCCTACGCGTTAGGCGCCCCTACGCGTTTGGTACACAGCGACACCACGGACCCGAGCTAACGGGGGAGTTTTAACTCTGTCCCAGGCCTAGCCGTGCGTGGCTTTGCCATGTCCGGGGAAAGGGGGATCCTAGGGGTTGAGCTGACGCTGGGTGGTTAGACCTTTAAGGCCCCCCGGCACAGGCAACACACCCCTTTGGCCCCGGCTTCACGTAGACGGCACCCCTGGGCTGACCCACCCAGGGGAAATCGGCAGTCGCCTCTTCCTGTCTCCTTCTCTCTTTCGATCTTCGTCTTTTCTCGTACTTTTGATC